TTCATATGAGGCAACAGCTCATTTCCAACTTGATGTTGGTAATCTGCTTATTTCCAGCTAAGGACTGTAACCTCAGTCTTTTGGGGTGTTCGTTCTCATCCCTGCTGTTTCACACTCAACTCCAAACTGTCTTAATGTCTACATTTCTGCAAAAGAGCAACTATGCAATTAGAAGCTGACTGAACTCTTGATCGTGGCCAGAAACTCTGTTCATATGTCGTGAGGTTAAAGTTTAGAGTTTCGGGTYTAAACATCTCAGACATTGTTTTTGTCATAAACTGTACGAAGTTTTAACTTTGTTTTACTCAAGCTTTTATTCTATCATTGAGYGTCTTTGCTGTGTCCTCGTTCACTGCGCCTCTCGTTTCCCTTCTCTCCTCTTTGTTTTTGGCAAGTTCTTGTCCTTGTCATTTATGATTCCCTCTTTTTTTCCTTCTCTCCACTGTGCTTTTTTGTACTTTCATCACTTAGACAGAGGAAATTTGGTTTCTGTGAWGTATTTTGAAAAGAAAAATGACACTTTTGACAACTGTTTTACATTCAAGCTATACTTTATTGCACTAAGGCAAATAATTGATGAAAAGTGCCCTTTCAMTTCCACCCCATTCCATTCACATTGACTTCTTGTGGTTAAATAAATAGCTATTTTATGCTCATATAAAAAGTGACTGACATTAGTAACCAGTTAATGGGATAAAAGCAACTTTATCATGTGCTGTCATTTTCTATCAAATGAACCACTTTCGTCCTTTCATGACTACAATACCCTTCTTAATGTTGAATAAAATAAAATGAATCTCCTTTATAACATCAGTGAAGTTTGTCCATCTTGAGGTCATTGATGTCTGATGAGTTTATGAACTGAATGAGTGTGTTTTACCTTCTTGTATGTGTTGATTTTATACAGTAAAATATGCATTATTTTAAAACTAKTTTCTGGATTTGACACAATATAGCTGGGCAGATAATGTGTGTGTGCTTGTATGTGTGTTTGTGTGCTGGTTGTAAATGACTGAGTTGATGATGATGATTATGACGATGATGCGTCTTATCCCCATTAGCATTAGCCTAGATGTGTCAGAGCTTTCTTGGGTTACTGTAAAATCCCAACCCTGGGGAACAATGTGATTGGCCRCACACTCAAAACAAACACGCACTCGTTTCAACTTCACTTTCATCACTTAAACAGAAACATTTGTTTCAATCCACAGCRTGACAGATAGTGTTTTACAGTTTTAGTTGTATTTCTTTTCATTTTGCTTTCCTATCTCTCAGTTTTGATCGACATGTTTCACAAACAAACGGCGTCTCTGTTGTTTGCAGCCTCACCTTTGTCAGACAATCAGAAAGATGCCTCTTTGTTTTTGTTTTTTTTGTTTTTTTTTTATTTCTACTTGGGTTGTGATCTTATCATGACCCGAGCAACACTGAAAGGTAGAAACCAAGCTAAATTATTATGCAGCCATGCTTTCTCATCCTTATAATAGTTTTTGCCACTGTGGAGATCAATAAAGGCAAAGCTGAGATTAGAGCTGCTGGAAGCACACAAGCTGTTCATCATTCAAATAATTTAATAGCATGCACAATTTGTACTCCAAATCAAATCATTTTTAAACAGCAACACTGCTTCCTCTGCGGAATTATTTATCACCTTGAAGTTACTTTGTTATTCGTGTTTTTTTGCAATGGAAATCATTTGTTTACAACACTTTAACATATTATTTTATCACTGCTAGGCAGATATTTTGCAACAGTTTGCTAAATTCAAGGCTGTCCTATTTTGCCGTGGAGTTGCTCCAGAGTTATGGCTTTGACAAAAGATAGCATCACTCCTTGCTCTCCTTTATGATCTTTTAATGTTGCTTCTAATTAATCTCTCTGTCATTAATTTGCTGTGACACATACCCTTTCCACTCACCCATCCAGCCTGGCTGTTAACTCAAAGTCCCCCCTGAGCTTCTTTTAATCTCTGAGCATCGAACTGCAGGGCAGAGAGCTCTGTGAGTGTACAATCAGTTAGCTCACATGTGGTTTTACAGAATTTTTCCTTTTAAAATGTTTCTTTCTTTCTTTCAACTTTATTTCCCAGTAATTCCCTCTCTTTCTTCTGGTTTCCCAGCTCAAACAAACAGTTCAGTGTTTTTTCTTTTTTTTAAATCATYATTCAGTCTCACAGCACCGACTGCACTTTGGTTTGCTGCGAACCAGCGCTTCTGTACCACCCAGAAAACATTTCATATATTACAGCTATTTTCTCACTGATGAGTGCTGATGAAGTGTTTCACCATTACACCTGCTCATGGGGCTGGATTATTGTTCACTCCTTATTTCTAATGGAGTCATGAWGATGGTAATAGCAGTTCAGTGATGGTTGTCCTTGATTTTTTTTTATGTGTGTGTCTATACATGTGTGAGTGTCATTATCTGTGGAGCCTCACTTTCCTTRATTATTTATAAATCCTAATTTCCCATGAATGATTGGGTGAAAAAATACCAAGAGGTGAGCCTAAAAGCCTTATGATGAGGGARCACAGTTGTAGTAAAGCTAAAAGTTTTGTTGTAGCTCAGTAGAACATAAACTAACTCGACAAAATACATAATTTGTGAAAGGACTGAGTGATAAATGACTTCTGAAATTGGCTGAAGAAGCTGAAATGGAGTTGTTAAAACTAAAATGCAGCATTGAGCGTTATTGACAAAAATTCAACACGATGTGACAATTAATAGATGACAATTGTACTTACATGTTATTTTACTCTAAATCAGTTACAAATTATACTGACAAATCATTAGCCAAACTAACTTATTCATTTTAACTTAAGTTTATCAGAATGTAAGCTGTGAACTGAAACCCACCTTCTCCACAATGTGGAGGGCCGGAGGTCTTAAAGGGATCCATGATTAGTTGTAACATTAGACTCTATTTGATAAACATATATATTTAACTGTAAAATAAAGACACCAACGCTATATTACCTTATATGTATTAGCTCGGCGCTAGCGTGACAAACAAGCTAAACTGAGGTCCTCCATCCATATTTTCAGTTGCAGGCTGAGTCATTTTTGTGTTCCCCTCTCTGTCATGTGGATGGAGGACCTCAGTGACGAGAGGAGAATGTGTAGCGCTGAGCTAATACATATATATGGTGATAGCGTTGGGGCCAATGCTAAAGCTAACAGGCTAAGCTGAGGTTCTTCTTCCATGAAGCAGCTCTGTTGTCCTCCATCCATATTTTCAGTT